AAACAAAATACAAGAGTGTCTCTACACAGGCTTCTATGAAAGATTTCCAAATATCAAAAAATATATCTATGCATGCTTCTCATCTATATTTCATTTTAAAAAAAGCAATGTGTGCTGCTTATATACCTCCCCATAGTGTTTCAAGCACTCTGTGGGCGGTTTACAAGTTAATTATGCAGGCTACACATTGTCCCCCTGCGAAGGAGCGGAGAATGCCAGTGTGCCGTCCCCAACAATAGAGAATATAGGAGGACAAAAGACAAACAAAGGGGTGCCCAAGATAAACAAAGTGACAGTTGACGAAAAGGCGGGAGGATTGGAAATAAAAGAGTGGGAAAGACGGAGGTTTGCTTAGCTGAAGGGTTGATAGAGGGAGAATGGGCGGAGCAAGAGGTATCAGTGTGGGAAGAGGATATAAATGAGGAAGGGGTGAGATGGTTCAGTTCGGTGGTGGCAGTGTACGAGAAAAAAGTTTGAAAGAATAAGAACCCAGAGCCTTATAAAGGACTTTCCTAATCTCCAAGTGGGAGGACTCTTGGCAGATCCCGGGACAGAAGAGAAACCCCAACGATATGTGACCAGAGAGTGGACCGTGATTGTGGCACCTCGTGAGCTCAAGTTGCAGCGTGAGGTAAAGATCGCCCACAACAGGTTCTACGACAAATGCGATGAGAGAGGGTGGGTGCGACACACATGTTGTGGGATGATCTGCGCCCTACAGAGTACTTCCCCCCCCAAGACTGGACTACGAGGAATGGCGTGAGGGACCTCCCTGTTAAGTCCCTGGGACTATGAGAAGAGTTTTGTTTCAGACAGTTGCGGCTTGTTAAAAGGTTTTGATCCAATAAGTGATGTGCTGGTGGATGTGGGCGTGAATAAAGAAGAAAGTTTAACAGTTATTAAAACGACTCGGTTGTCATTTCCTGCCAAAAATGAGGAGTTGCCCCAAAAGGTAGATGAACCCGATCACACACACCCAGCAAGATGGGTACTCATTTTACCGACCTCGGAAGGATAGAAGGCTGAGTCAACCTTGAGCCGGCTACCTGGGATTGAACGCCAGGTCGTGAGCAGAGTTTTAGCTGCAGTACAGTGGTTTAACCACTGCACCACAAGACATTCATATGTCAATATGGTTATAAGTTCTTCTATCCATTCAAATACCAGTGATGGGTATCTATCTTTCTAAGGTTGCAAAATCAGTCTTTTTCCAGCTGTAAGGGCATGGAGAGTCCATCTAGGCTGGCCAGTGGTTAATCTCCAAGAAACAGGTATATAGTGTAAAAGTACATAAACATCAACAAAGATAAAAGATTGGTCCACTACAAAATTAATGTGTGTAATAATTCCTCTCCAAAGTGAGCTATTAACTGGGCATGGATATAGCATATAACTAAGAGATGCATCAAGGCAGTCGCAGCACCAAGGTTTAGATGATTTGCTCAGACCCTTCCTAAAAAGATATTCCAGTGTGTCCAGCATACAATATTTTGTTGGATGAATCATAACTTAAGATGTATAAACATCTCAGATGTGCTGGCAAGTGTTGTCTTCCATTGATTAGGTAAAATATCACAATCAATGTCCGTATTCTGCTTGTCTCTGGGATCTTGTGTATCATCTTTATTGACAGTTATAAAGAAATAATGTAGGTTTCTTTTCTTGAACTTATGCAATAAGCATTTCTAAAGGAGCAGGAGACTCTGAAGCACTCAGTGTTGCCAGGACCATATTTAGCTATCAATAGATGCTGTAATTGTAGATACTGCCATTCGGATGAATCTAGCAGGTCATATCTAACGGTCAGCAACCTGTCAAGTACAGAGAACATGACATATGTCTTTAGTTTGGCAATAGGAAGTACTGAAGGCCAACATAAAAGGAAACTTGGTATGCACGGGTACAGCTCTATCCTCTGTATGTGGTTCAGCTATGCAACATAATGGGTTGTCATGGTAAATTCTTCGCCATGATAAGGTTCATGACGTCAGGTTCATTCAATGGGATATTCAGCTGAATGAGGAAGAAATGCACTTTTCAAAAATGATCAGGTTTAAGGAATGAAGAATGCTTTCTCTGCTAACTTAATGGGGGGGGGAAACAACTGCATGACCTGAATGAAACTACGAACAAGATATAACTAAGGTAAACATATGGAACTTGTTCAGTTCTTCTTTGTGTTCTCTGTGAATAGGGTTTAGTCTGCGCTTAGCACACATTCGCCAGGACTGCCCCCTAGTACATGTGGTCCGTCTGTGGGTGATCATGGAACAAAGGAAGGCTAATTGACTTAGAGAGAGGACAAAGGAGTTGACAGCAGATGTCCAGGTGATCATGGACTACTGGCAATGCCCTGAGAGCTATTTTATTTATTTACCATGATTACATAGTATGTTATGAGAGAGACAGATAGGATACTAGTTATCTAATCGTAACTAGGATTGGCTAAAATAACCCTTTGATCTTATGCTCTACCTCTAAGCGAAAGGGCAGAATAAGGGGTTCCCCCGCCTGCTGGCAACTGCCACTTCCTGCCAGGAGTGTTTGCATGTCACTAGAACAGAATGTAGCTACAATCTTTAAGCAGAAGTTTCCCACACTGCCTGTCTTGGCAGTTGCCTTAGTTTCTTTTTGCTGCCACTGAGGTTCACCTCTCGTTGAGCTCTCCATTCACCACTGCTTTCAATTTCTTCCTAAAATAAAACATAACAGAGGGAAATTGTAAGAGACTTTTCTAATCTTTCTCCTTCTTTGGCTCACCCCCTCTCCCTTTCCCTCTTCCCCGCCATTTATAGACCTTTGCCACTGTTCAAACAGTGCACTTCATGCTCCAACAAGCTCCCCCTCTCCACAATCTTTGTCTCTTCTGCGTTGGGGAATCTCAGCAGCCATTTTTGTGCCAGTTTTGCAAAAACTTTATTAAACAAGCCCTCAAACTTTGACAGCAACAACTTCGGTCCTTTCTCTGGGAACGTTCTCTATGCCCAGTGCAGACCAGCAGAGACACTTTGCCCCTGTCAGCAAAGTGTCCCCTGAGGTGTCCACCGCTTCTCCAATGACAAAGCCGCCAACTTCCAAATCCAAATCTAAGTCCACCTCTAAATCCAAGTCTTTGACATCAGCTAAGTCAATACCAGTATCGAACCCTCCTTGGATACCAGAACACTCAAAACCTAAAAAGACTAAGAAATCCTCCTTGGATTCCCACGCTTCTAAAAAGTGTACAGCACCTGACAAAACTACTCCGACAATCCCATTGCAGGACCAACCAACTGTCTGCCTTGGCTCTCCTGATGATGATTTCTTGCCACCACCTTCTGGTCAACCACTGTCTCCTCTCCTTGCCCAGTCTCCAACTTGGGCCAACACCTCGAGTGAGGTGACAGTTCTCTCCCAATCGGAACATTTGAGCCCCAAATCCCTGGGTTGCTCAGTCTCTCTGCGTGACTCAGAGTTGGTGTCTTGTTTTACCTAACTCGTCACCTCCGTGTAAGTGATCCAGAAAGACTCACCATACACCAGAGACTTGCCGATCTAATGCCGATCTTGCACAACCTCCGACTTCTGTGGGGTTGTTGGCATCTCATGATTCTTTGACTCGGAATCATCACCCTAGGAGAGTCACTCTATATGAACCACCAACTTATCTTGAGCCTCCACCCAAGCGCTATCAACATCAAGCATACCGATACTGGCAACCTGATGCTGAACTTTACATACAGCCTAAACGCTCACGGTATGGGTACTACTATCTATTTGATATATCAGACTCATCATCTCCTCCTCTGTACCAGTTGTGATCCCTTGAATACTACCAAACCTCTTCCGAGGATGACACCACACCTCTCCCTACAGTACCGAAGCCACATAAGGCTTCTCACAAATGGAGTCATTTTCCTGACTATTTCATTGAACAACAGCCGATGATACTGAAACGTTCTTGCTCTTTGGTTAAGGTTCCACTTTCATCTACTGACCCCGCTACACTCTCACAATTCCGTGCTTCTTCATTACAGTGACAACTACATATACCGGACCTTCACCTGCACCTCTTGCTACTGCTCAACCTTGTCAAAAGAAACATTCTAAATCTGCAACTCGCTCTGTACCATCCAAGGAGGTTCCTGACAGGCCTCCCCGTTACCTACCAGAGTCTTGTCCCGACACCTCTCCTCCTCTGTATCGTCATTCTTCTCAGACATTGTTGCCACAACTCTCTGATTCGGGTACTTCTGACTTCTTACCACCACAGGAGTCACCTCCTAATCTGCCCACACCGTATTCAGACATAGCGGATGCCAATCCACCCTTGCCATTGGAGGACTTCCCATCCTACTCCCAGCTAGTGCTTCGCGTAGCCAAAGCCATGGATCTCGATGTCCAACAACCAACCCAATCTAGATCCAATAAGGTGTATGAGGACATTAATGAAGACCAGACACCACCACTCCGTATGGGCTTTATTCCATCCTTACTGAAACTAACGAAACAGTCACGATCCAAACCATCTTCTGTACTGCAAATGTCTCGGAGGGTAGAAAGTTTATACAAAACGCATGAAGATAGCACTGCTTTCCTTTCTAAGCATCTACCTCCGAACTCTGTCATTATTGATTCTACACAGAACAGAGCACGAGACTGCTCTAATGCTACTCCTAACAAGGAAGGTAGAAAACTAGACATCATTGCCTGCAGAGTTTATTCTCTTGCCTTTTTTACCCTACATGCTGCCAGTTATCTTGCAGCCATGGGAGCATACCATCAGTACCGCTGGAATAAAGCTCTCCCAGCACTCCAGTCAGCAACAGATGAGTATAACGCTTGTAGCCTCGCTTTTCACCAGGAGCCTATGGCCCTGGCATGTCAAGAGCATATCATCGCACAACATGTCATTGAGGCCGCATCAAAGCACATGGCTACAGCTGTAGCCCTTCACACACACGCTTGGCTTCACTCAGCCAACATTTCCAATGATTCCTGCATGGGAACTGAAGACTTACCTTTTGATGGCGCCAGTCTTTTTTATGACAAGACTGATGAAATACTTGACAACCTGCAAAAGGTGAGGAAAAACAGCTCATTCTTATAACACCCAACCATACTACAAATCCCAATGACACTAATAGTGTCACCCCTATTCCTATCAGCAATACAGACCATTTCCTGATGAAAACAGATACTTACCACAGTCGTCGTCATCATTTCAACCCAGACACAGCACCCAATGTCAATGCCTCAAACAATCTTTCTGGCGTCCTGACAAGAAAACAAAACAGAACCCTTGACTTACCCATCACTTAGATCCGTCTGTCCCATCTCTCTTCACCCAGCACCACCCATCTTTTCGCCCATCTTTCATCTTGGGTATCTATCACCTCTGATGCTTGGATCCTCACTATCATCACTACCGGCTATGCAATAGAATTCACATTATCTCCACCACCCAGAACCATTCTGACATCACCATCATAGGTTCTAAAACAAGAGATTTGATCCCTTCTTTGGAAAGATGCGGCATCACCTCTCAGTGTCTCAGAAGATGATCCTGGGTTCTTCTCCCATTACTTTACTGTCCCAAAATGCGATGGAGGTTTATGTCCCATTCTCAACCTCCAATATCTAAACTACTACATTGTCCAAAAACATTTTTGTGTGGTTACGCTAGAATGGATCCTACCCATTCCTCAAGAAAATGACTGGTTTGCCGCCATCGACCTAAGCAATGCCTACTTTCATATTACCATCTGCCAAAACCACTGCAAATTCCTAAGATTTTCCATAGAAACCACCACCTATGAATTCAAGGTCCTTCTGTTCAGTCTTTCCACCACTCCACAAGTCTTTACCAAATACATGGCTCCTGTGACAGCTCATCCACGCACTCTGGGAATCTCCATCTTCCCTTATATAGATGACTGGTTGCTGGTATCCCCTTCATACTCTCAAGCTTTGAGAAACATCCACATAACTCTTTCCCTCCTTGTGGATCCGGACCTCGAAGTCAACAGAGAAAAATCTATACTCACCTCTGCACAAAGAGTCATCTACATAGGTGGAGTTCTGGACTCTCAAAAAGCACAAGTTTTCCTCCCTCAATTGAGAGCAATAAAACTTCGTGCTCTTATCCTCCTTTTTCTACCTTTGGCGATGGTCACCGCGCATCAGACCCAATGCTTTCTTGGCCTCATGGCCTCTGCTACCATGGTAATTCAACATGCCAGATTAAAAATGTGCTCCCTACAGGCTTGGTATAGCTCCTTCTTCAATCCAATGTCAGACCCACCTTCCAAGCTCCTACAGGTTACACCCGAACTTTCAGCCCAACTTCTCTGGTGGGATATTCCAGCCAACCCATTCATTGGTAGGTCCTTTGCACCTCTTCAACTAACAGTCCAAGTCGCTACCAATGCCATTTCCATCGGATGGGGAGCACATTGCAAAGGCCTATGCATCCGTGCTACCTGGTCTCAAATCGAGTGGGACCTTCATGTCAACAATCTTGAACTATTCGTTTAGTCGTTTAGTCGTGTCCAACTCTTCGTGACCCCATGGACCAGAATACGCCAGGCCCTCCTATCTTGAACTATTATCCATTTTCAAAGCTTTCCGCGCCTTCAAGCTGATCATCATTGGCACAGCTGTACAAGTGACCACAGACAATATCACAGTGGTTTTCTACATAAACAAGCAGGGAGGTACTCCCTCCCTCCCGTCGCTGTACCTTACTGTTCAACTGTGGGAACATTTTTCCTATGTTCACATGGCCACTCAAGACAATCACATAGCAGATTCCCTAAGCAGGAGTCGGGCCCAAATTCACGAGTGGACTCTCAATCGGGCTGTATTTCTCCACCTTTCCAAACTCTGGGGACAGCCTCACATAGACATGTTTGCCACCTTCCAAAACTCAAAATGCACTCTTTATTGCTCCAGAGCAGACATAGGCCCAGGCTCCCTCAGAGATGCGCTCATGACCAGCTGGAACAAACATCTAATCTATCTTTTCCCACCTATTCCTCTCCTTCTCAAGGCAATAGTCAAACTCCATCAGAACCACTCATACGGAATTCTCATCACCCCGTGGTGGCCCACGCAACTGTGGGTCACCATGCTCCAATCCATCTCCACAGACTATGTCCACCTACCCCTCATCCCTCACCTCTTCACTCAGCATCAAGGCAGAACTTACCACGCCGACCTTCACACTCTCCACCTCACAGCATGGAGGATTCACCCTTGGTAGCCACCATCTTAGCTAACGTCCTGAAAGCCTGCTACCACACAACTTTATTCTTATAAATGGGCCACTTTCCAAAAAATTGCGACTCAACGCAACCTTCCAACCAATCTGACATCTCTTCACACAGTCCTTATGTTCCTTTCTTGTCTTTTTAGTAAACAGCTTTCCCTGTCCACCCTCAAGGTTTACATTTCTGCCATAGTCACACATCAGCCACATAATTCAGAGGTGGCCCTACTTTTCCGTCACCCTACATGGAAACAGTTCCTGAAAGGTGTCTCCAATGTGCGACCTTCTGGTCTTCCTCCCCCTCTGCAATCAGCCTTACACAATGTCCTCCAGCATCTCACACCCCGTCCATTTGAACCACTTGCTACCACATCCGAGCACCTTCTCTCCTTCAAGACTCTTTTTCTGGTCGCCATCACTTCAGCCCACAGAGCCTCAGAACTTGCTGCCCTTTGAGTAGACCCTCCATTCCTCCAATTCCATTGTGACAAGGCTACTCTTTATCCAAATATTTTCTTTCTCCCAAAGACTGTATTGGACCTCCACTTCAAACAACCTATTACCTCCTCTTTTTTTAACATTGCCATCAACTGATCTTGAGCATTCCTTCCATATGTTGGATGTCAGGTGAGCCCTTGCATTTTATATCTCCTGAACTTCCTCTTTCTGCAAGTCAAAGAGGCTCTTTGTCACACCACACCTCCCATGCAGAGGCTCCCACATTTCTTCTCTGACCGTCCCTTGGTGGACTGTCACAACTATAAAATTGGCATACCAGCTCACCAAAAAGCCTCTGCCTGTAGTTATTAAAGCTCACTCCACAAGAGCTCTTAATACCTCCACGGCTTTCCTTCAAGGAGTACCTCTCCTGGACATCTGTAAGGATGCACCTGGGTGTAGCAGTCCCCTTTATTAGGTCAATGGTTCATGTTTTGTTATGTAATTGTTCATGCATATTCATGTTGCTGAAAGGCAGAGCTGAGAGAGATGCTATAAGAGGCGGAGTCAGAGAGTCAGTAAGAGTCAGAGTGAGAGAAAGGGGGTGTCAGAGAGAGATTGTTTTGGGAGAGAGAAGTAGATAGAGTGTGGAGTTTGGGGAATTCTGAGGTATGATTAAAGTTGGGAGTGTATTATCAAATAGAAGATTGTTGTTAATAATAAATTTATCTAAAGTAGATATTCATGAATCACTAGCAATTTCTGTAATCAATAAACAATAGTTATATTTAAAAGACTTTGAAGTGTGGACCTGAATCTTCATCCTCCTCAAGTAATGGTGATTTAGTGATCACCTGGTGGCAGCAGTATAAAAGAGGGGATTGTTTGCCTTCGTGTGCTCTGAGTCTTGATGATCAAGCAAAGGGCAACCCCTTCTATGTTTGCCGCTCATTACTGCCTAAATGGCAAGGGGGCACGAGGGTGAACGCCACACTGGGCAACCCCTTCTATGTTTGCCGCTCACTACTGCCTAAATATCAGAGCTAAGACAGATGCAGCATTTGGCAAGGCTGTGCTCCCTTCTGTGACATCCCTCCTCCAGTAAGTAAGCTTGTTAATCAACCTATAGTGTGCATTCACAGAGACCACAAAGAAGAAAGAGAAGTTACTTACCTGTAACTCTGGTTCTTTGAGTGGTCATCTGTGAATTCATACTTCCCACCCGTCCTCCCCTCTGTCCGTCACATCTGTCTTACATTGATGCAGCAGTAGGCTGTTCTTCAGAACTGAGGCAATTGCCAGTGAGGCAATCACTAGGGGGCGGTCCTGGTGAATATGTATTAAAGCTCTAGAACAGGGGTCTCAAACATGGGGCCCGGGGGCCATTTGCGGCCCGCCGGATGATAGTTTGTGGCCCCCACCTTGCCTTCCCCCTGAAGCACCCACACATCCTCTGCTGTCAAGAGGCCTTGCCTCGCTCCCTGGCTCTCTCCCAAGACAGTGCCTCTTGCACCCTCCATCTGGAACTACAGCCTACCTGCCAGCCCACATGAGTGTGCCTTTTTTTGATGGGGCGGCCCTCAGAGGATGGTTGCTGAACCTCTGTGTGTGTGTGTGTGTGTGTGTGTGTGTGCACCTGTGGGGGGCCCGCCCCATTCTGCTTAATTTCGCCAGGTACCAATGGGGGCTTTTCTCCTTTGACAAGGCAATTCTGTGAGGCTTTTTAAAAAAACTTTATGTCGTGCCCTCCTTTCCCCTGTTAGGCGGTCGCCGGCACTCCCTCCCTTCTCTGCTTCTTCGTCCTGCTGCTGCTGGTGGTGGTGGTGGTAGTGAAGAAGGAGACGGAGGGGATCATAGTCGGCGACGAGGGCTTGCGCGCCTCTCCTCCTCCTCCTCCTTGGAGCCCCAGTCAGGCTAAGGAAACTCCTGGGCTCTTGCTCCAGTTGGCGGAAAATCTGATGCGGCCCAGCCTCACCCAGACTCTGCCTCCAGCGGCCCCAGGTAAATTGAGTTTGAGACCCCTGCTCTAGAATATTCCAGAAATCTCTGTGCAAGCGCAGATTAAACCCTATAGTGTGGATTCACAGATGGCCACTCAAAGAACCAGAGTTACAGGTAAGTAACCTCTCTTTTTAATGCTAAAAATAATTAAAAACCAGATTCTCAATTTACAGTGCAATCTTGTGTATGTTTACAGTGAAGTAAATGACACCAATTTCAATATGGCTTCCTCCCAAGTGTGTGGATATTGCCTTTGAGCCTTATACAAGTTGTCCCTTAGCTTTCCAAGCAATTATACATTTCCAACAAACCTGAGAACATATTCCATGCTGGTATGAAGAAAGTCATTGTAAAGATTAAACATGAAGAAACCTATCCCAGGATAACTATCACTATGCATAATGGGATTCTCACAGTTCTTTTCTGCTTTAGCTCACCCTTCCTGTAAAATAAATATCAAAATATGAACTCTTGTTCCACAGTTACAAAACATCAAAACATATTAGAAGTTTGCAACTTCCCTGCATAGTGTATACATTTTAGTGGGGTGCCCTCCTTTAATTAGATTAATTGATTACACATACATGGGGCTTGGTATGTATTGGTCTCTCTAATATTGGAATGTTATTTGCTATGCTTTTGAATGGGATTATGTATATATGAAGGGGAAAATGACGGTGGTTTTCAGACACAGAGATATATTTGTGGAGTATTTGTAGGCAGAAGGCTCTTTCTGATTAAGGCGAATATCCATCTCTGTGAATGTGACAGATGAACAGGGCCATTCTATCACAATAGCCTCACTAGGCTTCCTAAGCATAACCATTGGGAAGTCTTAATACCCTACATCATGTACAGTTTGTGGTAGGGGGGGAGAAGACTAATATGACTTTAACACCACCCAGTTCCAGCAGGCAAATCCCCTTCCCTTCCACTACCTTTCCAGGCTGATAAAATTGCAGTGCCTGAAATGAGTAGAATCAATTGTGAAGACAAGACATGGGTAGACAAGAACCCTGAGAAAGATATGGTGGCCATACCCTGAACTGGTTTTCTAAAAATGGAATAACTTCAAAAATTCTTGGAAAGTGATAACTCTCAAAATGCAGCATTGAGTAATGCTATGGGGGTAACCCATCTTCCCCCCTTTTTAAATGTTACTCACAAAGCACATAGTTGTGTCTCTTTTTTATTCATCATGAAGAGATCTCAAGAGTCACCCTAGCTTTCCTCTCAGATGAAAGCTCCCTTCTCTATCTTCTTTGTGTTACCCGGGTCCTGTCCTGAAGACATCTATAGTACAGCTGGTATGGAAAAGCCAGGAAAGCTTGGAATTTCTATCTCAGCCCAGACCAGAGAAGAACTGAAGGTTTTCAGAGCTAAGAAGCTTTCAGTCAAGGCCTCTCAATGTCTTCCCAAGGTTGCCTTGGTCAAATGTCTACTTTCATTTTTCTTCTACAGTTACTTTCGGTTTGAATTTTTATTAGAAATAAAGCTTCAAGACTTCCATTCATTCATGTGTGTTCATGCATAACACTCCTTTGTCTGTATGAATATAAAAATACTACAAGTGTCAGCAAACTGGATGGGTTGCTCGGTATTCTGAGGATTCCATGTCACCATATCCTTTTAAAACAAAAAATAAGGTGTATGTTTTTTTTTTTCAGACAATAGAGCAACTGCATTCTGGTTAATCTAGAAAATTGCCATTTTCAAAGGCTGAGAAGGTCTTTGAAGAATTACTTTACCTCATAGAAATGTGAAATGCACCTGGAAGGCAGATTGCTCATTTTCACTCCATCTGACCATTTAGTTCCTGTAAAGTATTGCACATTGCTGGGAGATTTAATAAGGGAAGAGCCAGATCAAAGTGCCCTTAGTAAGCCTTTGAATTTTAACACATCTGGCAACTCTGACATGCCTAGCAGGATACATCTGTGGTAAATGCACACTTTAGAATTTATGACATTCACACTGGCCGCTTACACTGTAAAGTTAATTAGATGCCTCTGGGTATGTTGCAATGTGGCAGCTTATCGACTACAGTAAGGGGGAAAAGACACCTCCACTAAATACCTGGCTTTCTAGAGTTCACAGAGAAGCATGCAGCACAGACCAGAACAGTACTGCTAATTTGCATTTGTGTAGCAAAAATCATGGAAGTCTTGGCAACAAACTGCTGCTCCTTAATGAGGCAGCCGTTGCATTCCCATGCTGGCACTTGAACATGCAACTGAGTACTGTATGCACACAGTATGCACACAAAGCACTTTGCTAATAAATGCAAGATTTATTTATTTTCCTTTATACAAGCATAGATTGACAGTAGGATTCTGAGTATGTTTAGGTAAGGGGGGGTAGATGATAGATAGATAGATAGATAGATAGATAGATAGATAGATAGATAGATAGATAGATAGATAGATAGATAGATAGATAGATAGATAGATAGATAGATAGAATCAATTGCTTTTTGGTAAATTCCACTGAGTTAATGGCTCTACTTTATTTGGGACTTACAGCAGGATACTAGCTGCAGTTTCAAAAGCTCACGAAAACAAACAACTGACCAGAGCACCAGAAATATATGAATGCCACAAGAAGCCTCTGTCACTCAAACCACACAACTTCCAATCCAAGCAGCAAAGACCTGCAAACAAAAAGGCATGAGCCAGGCTGTCTCCTTAGCATTTTCTGCTGGCTAATTTGTCTATTCTTAGTAATACCTTAGTAATGCCAGCTCTTCCCCCATGCGCCCATCCACTGCCACTTATTGTGCTGTTCCTAATTCTTTTCCCCTCAGAAGCTTATGTCTGTGTTATACTGTATCTGTGCTTCAGGGCCCCTAGCAGTCCCCAAGCATTCACTTTTATGGTTGCTTTTCTCTCCTCTACCTTAGCTGAAAGGGCCATTGATCTCAGCCTTCAGAGAATGTGGGAAGACTTGGAAGTGCTTAGGGAATATGGGAAAATCTGTTAGGTCCTACTCATGAAAGGGTTCCCCATAGGGTTTTGATGTGCTGCTCTATGTTTTCCCCTGTACACATTTCAGGATCAAAAGGTTTCTGACAGAACCCAGCCCCCTACCTGAGGACTGATAGTGTAGAAAACTAGTTTCAATCCTACAATTGCCAGTCTACTGTTGGGTACAAGTAGAGATTCTGGGTTTTCAAAAAAGGGGCAGGATTGATTTATGAAAACTTGTCCATCTTTGTTTCACATTTATCAGTAACAGCCCTATTACTATAGGACGGCCCCTAGACCATCTTGGGTTCTGGGAAGATGTTTTGTGAGTTATTATAAAAATAAATCAGATTGAATTATTATGAAAATAAACACATTGGCCTTTATCAATGTATAAAATGTATTATTTAAATTAAAAAAAGAAGATAATATGACTCAAAAGCAGACCAGTTTCATCAGTGAATAGTAGCAGT